ATCAATAATACAAGATCCGCGTCAAAGCATACAATAATTAATTTATAGGTACTTATTATTTCATTTATGCTTATAAAATTATATTAGAAAATATTTAGTATGTACACAGAAAATATTACACAAGAGTAATTTTTATATTGACATTTAATAGTAAAGAAATTAAACTAGATAATATGGGCGTGTAGTCAGGGCATAGAATAGGCCATCTCTTCCTTTCCCGTGGGTGACGTAAGAGGCGACTAACGGATGTTAATGGTCGAGGAATGGGCAGCAGCACTTTTTTTAAAACATCACCAAAGCCTAAATGCTGTTGCCAATCTGCCTGCCAAGCATGGTAGCTACTGGCAAAATCTTTCAAGAGGGGTCCTAGTTTCAGCAGTGAACAGTTAACGCCTGATACGATGATGATGATGAATATTCTATATATTTTGACGACCTATTCTGGTTTTCTTTGAATTTGAAATATTTGTAACTTACATTAAGTATAATTTAGGTTTGTAAAAATGACTTATCGGTTTCATAAAAATCATTTGGAATCGGCAAATATTTCGTATAACGTCTTCATCGAATTGAGAATATTTTATTGAAAGTCGGTTAAAATTGATTAAGTTTCTGTCATTTTATATATTTTAAAACAAAATCCATACCTTATTTTACACATTTAAAAGGTAAGCAATATTAATTATTTTATTGTCGTAAGTTTCGTAAGTACAAACTATATTTTTATAGTAGGATTAGCCTGTTTTTAACCAGTTTTACTTACATATATTTTAGTAAAAAATGTGGCTATTCTTACAGTTAAAATATTGCAATTATTAACAACTTCACTAATACTTAGTTTTTTTTTATTCAACATTTTCGTTATTTAAGTATTTATATATAGAATCATTTACTTTAATTTCGACATTACTGTGAGTAAGTTAATTTATTTAATGAATTATAGACAAGAAGATGGTAATGTAAATATCGTTTTAAAAGGAAATGAAATTTCCCTCATCGTATATAATTCTCTTAGATGTGGGATATTTTAATAAATTAAATACACTATACAGGGAATATGCCTTACTTTTAAGTCGCATGGAACTTAAATTTTATGTACTTACTTACTAGGATTTTTAAATTAGACATTCCTAAGAAGCGGAGATAGATACAGTATGTAGATAAAGTTTTATTTAATAAAATTTCAACACGAATAAAAACGGTTAATTTCTATCTGTATATATATATGTGTGTGTGTGTGTGTGTGTAGTATATTTTATGTACTTACCTAAGAACGAAATCTATGGTACTTACCATGTTTGTCATTTTGGATAACAGTTTCATATTTATCCGAAGGTCTTCTGCAACGTGAATATGTAATTGCTTACGTCGAAATAATAATAATAATACTAACATAGTACGTTCCCGTTACAACTCTTATTCTGATCTTTGAATTATAGTTTGTTATTAGTCAGAATAATAATTCATAGACTCATTAAATTCTAATTTCTTATATATATGTCTATGGACAGGCATGGAAAGGGAATTCCATAATTTTGCAGTATGAATGGCAAAGAATTGGTTATAGCGCGTAGACGAGTGAGGAGGGATTTTGAGGATAAAGGACTTCATCGAACGAGTGGATATACGTATACCATCGAGAACTTGGAAATCAAAACTTTCACAAAAATAGGACTGAGAAGAAGGGTTGTATAGAATAGAATATAAAAAGGATTTTTTCTATTTAATCTAGTTCTATAAGCAGAGATATGGTCGTATTTACTTAGACTATAAATAAAACGTATGCATAAATATTGTAATCTTTCTAACTTGTTTAAAAGCTCTTCAGTTTCATCAAGATTGGACATGTCAGCGTAACCAAGAAGAGGTGATAGTAGGGATTGAGCCAAAATAATCCTTATCTCAAATGGTAAAAACTTTAAAACCGTTTAAAAGATTGAAACGAAAAATATAACCTTTTGCTTACCCCATTAATATGTTACAACCAATTTCCTTCAAATAGATAACATCAACGTACGAAACTTTTTCCACGCGAGTTTAACTCGCACTTGTCTGGTTTTTATTTTATTAGTGTACGAGTAATCAATTTTTAATAAATACTCATAATGGTTCACCTTGACACTATTTGTAAATGTTATTGCTGAGTTTACTATTTGTAAATGTGATTGAGAATCATCATTATCATCTCAACTATTATCCGTCCTCTGCTAAACATAGGCATCCCTTAAAGACTGTTATAAAGATTGCAAGATGCATCCATTGACTCCATGTAAGTGATTGGGTATACCACAGTTGAAACCAAAAACAGCGTACAAACGTGTATATACATAAATTATTCAAGGAAAGTTCTAGTTTTATAATGATTCTTTTGTATATAAGTTTTTATTTAAGTACATGCATACTTAGTAAATAGAAACTCAGGGACATAGGTAAGCACACCTCACTTAAGATGCAAACAGATTCAAACCGTAGCAAATGCTCTTGGGAGTAAGCGCGCCTATTGAGTTAGTGCGCACTCTATTCTGTTCTCAACAAAGATACAGCTATCCTTTGGCAGTCCCGTCGTTTGAAACGGCCGGAAGACGGATTACTGGGTAAAGCATGTCGTTTGTAAGACAAAGCTCATATTTTTATTACTGAATCTGTGGTTCATAAAGTATTATTTGTGAATGACAAGGATGATCATATAATAAAGAATTTACATGATGAAAGAGAAACATCTTTCATACTCGTTCTAAATGTATAATATTATTACGAGTGGGCGTAATATTTGTCATTATATATGTTTGTATATAATATTTTTGGCATGGTAGTTGCAATAGAAATATCTATTGTCTTGACCGATTTATTAATGATTGGATGTAAAAATTTTATAGTGGTCATAAATTTACATTATGTATCCTATTACACAGATGTTTTCGAATTACCGACGTAAAATAGAAACAGCAGCCGCATTAGCTCAATTGTTCTATGTATCAATTTAATACGTTCAAATTTCAACTTTTGTAAATATTATTAAATAAAGGTATAACTTACTGCAATAGATTTTATGTCATAATCCTATGATCGTGCAGTTTACATCAAGCGACGCTTACTATTTTCCATTAGGTTCATGAGACTGCTTTGTTTATCAACTATTCCAGATTGTATATCTTTCACGGAATACCCATAAGATATGCTAGAATTATGCCTGTTAATTTTGCGTTAACTATGTACAAATTACTTAGTTAAATATACGTATATTAAACATTTTATTTGTATTTTATAAGTATTTAGGTCTGTTTTTACTTTCATACATATATAGCTTTTGATTTCAATTACAAACGATTACTGTTTCTCTGATAGTGTTCTCTTGCGAGCAATACAAAGTGCTGTTATGCTGCATAAGATAATGCAAGGGAAATAAAGATATACTCAGCAGAAACAGTGCAACAGTTTTTTTTTTTTAATGAAATAAATCAAATAAGAAAGGAGTATATTTTATTTGGGTGTAAAAAAGAAAAAAAAAACAAAGTAGTCGATATTTAAGTATTTACCTAGTACATAATTAAAGTGTAAATGTGATTTATAAAATATATTAAGTGTATCTTGTGGCTTTGTATGCGTAAAATATTTTATATGTTAAATTACAAAAACGGTATAATTTAACCATATACCAATTTTTAGTAAAACCCATTTAGCCGTTTAAGCGTAATTGAGTAACAAACATTCAAATACCTTTACAAAGATTCATAATTATAACACGTAGTATGTAAAGTAGAATAAAAAAATCTTAACTCATAATTTCGTATTACAAGAACTAGAGGTAGACATGGTAGGGCTCACGTGATATCTGAAAAATAGACATCCTAAAATAAAAAAAAAATAATAATCTTCAAATAAATTACTATAATAAGTTAAAAAGACTCAAATAAATATAAAAGTTATTTATAAACAAGCTCATTTCAATGATCAGAGAGGTCTTAACCAACCGATTTATAAGCTCCTGTTTATTGAACTTTATTGAAAATGTACGTAATTAAATTATGAATTAAGAAAATAAAGAACATTCAAATTCAAAACAAACCAAGTATGAATTTATTCTTACAGCCAACAAGCTCCCATTTGCACCCGAAACACTAAGCTAGGGTTGTCGCAATGAAAATAATAGAGCCCCAGGTAATTTCGCTAATGCAGCGGTTACATCTATCTAGATCGCACTTACACCCGCCTCGCCCGAAGGTACCTATTAAGAGGGTCTACACACGGGATATTGTCAGACCTTTCCCGAAATTGTCTATTTTGACTAAGTGTTAAATTAAGGTAGATCTGATGAGGGCCCGAATCTCACAAGACACGGACGGGTTATTCAATTATGCGCGTGACAAAATGTTCTGTTGTAATTGTTGTCTGTTATATGGATTTGAGCAAAATTGTTGTTTTCTCTCATTTTTATACCTACTCAGTTCGGGAGCCCAGTAATTCTAAATTTCGGGTTCTATTCTCACGTTAGTAGTTATTTATCAACTGACTTCAGAAAGAAGGAGGGTCTCAATTCGTTTGTACTTTTCTTGTTAGTTACTCATAACTCCGTTGCTTATAAACAGATTTGGAATATTTTTTTTTTATCTGAAAGAATATACTTACCAATTGGCGACCCCATAGAAATTTTATCTAAATCGGCTAAGTAATTTAGTTTTTAAATCAAAGCAATTGGTTTTGCTACAACTGAAGTTGATTTGTTTGTGGAACACAATCTTACCTATACTTTATTGCACCATTTAATTTAAGGAATACAGTAAATTTTAAAGTGAAATGATACAAAAGTATTAATAGTATTATTTTAGTGTTATGTGTATTATTTGTATATTTTAGAACAGTTTCTTTTGGGTTTTCTAGCGGATAATTAAGTGAAGTAACAATTTTGATGATTAGAACTTTTGTTCATTGAGTTTTATCGTAATATGAAATATTCATTACTGCTTACAGAATATTTATAGGATGGCAAAACAAATATTATATGTAATCAAAGCAATTAATTTTAATATCAACAAATAAAAAACATTTTATTACATTATGTACTCGTTATATTTGTTCGCAGGCAATATTATACATTCATTTAAGGCCGTTATATAAAAACTGACATATTAGTTACAGATTTATTACATACAGTTGTGAAATTAAAACAACATACCTATAATAACAAATCATATACTATCAAAACTATATTTAGAACATATTAATTACCAAAATTCGACATGATGTTTTAGGTCACAGCTTGCTTATAAATTAGGTATTATTCATAAAATTCAACAGTATTAAAACATTAACAATTTACAGAATACCCTAAGATATAATTTTAACATGGCATTAAAAATTTACATCCATAATGTTAAACGCTTAAACCCAATCTTTGAAACGTAATTAAATTAATTGCAAAAACTGAAACAAACCTGCAAAATTATAAATGAGCAAAATTTATTTTAAATCACGTAGCTACATGTTTAACTATATACATTTTAACATTTTATAATTTTGATATACAACGTTACGACATATATTTCGATGACATAAAGCAATTATTTCATACTCACTTTTTAAAATTATATAAAGATATTTGAAGTCATAAATATAATAAAAGACACAATGATAGGTATATTTAAATACATTTTGGTGTTGTAAATTAAACAACGTAATATAGTTATATTTTACAACATAAATTATTTTTTATTCTAAGTCACAAATATAAATATTTATGCAGTACCTACATTTTCTCCGTATTAGCACGTTATGTGTTGTTGCGTTGATACTTAGATACACTAATTCATAGACAATAATTAATTGCGTACAAAATATAATTAAGTTAAAAATAGGGATATGTATAAACAAAAAGTTTAATAGTTTAAGTACATTGTGCAATATCACGTAATGGAAAGTAATCGAAATGGTAATAAAATATTTACCAAATATATTTTGTAATAAGTTAATTTTCATAAGCTGACCAAAAAGATTATAATTTTGATAACTTTTTGAAATATGTTTCTTTAGTTAAAAAATATAATTAAGTTGTTTATTTAAATTTTTCAATTTTATTTGTCATTGTTTAATAAAGATAATTTATGTTAGTAATATTTTAATTTTGTTATTAAAAATAAACGTAATAAGTTATAAATAACTTATTGAGTATATAAGTATCTAATAATAACATTAAATTTAACAATATAGTAAAGAAGAAATCACATTTAAATTGTCAAATATGTTATTATCAAACGTAAGTACTGATAACATATAATTTTAGACTAATAAATTAGAATAACAGCATAATTATTATTTAATTAACATTTAGGTTAACAGACACAGGTGCATCAGATGGAATTGTTGCTAATTGCACTCTCGGTATCAATTATGAAAGCATACAAGAATATCTTTACAAGCGTGGTTCCGTAAACAACACTATTAATATTCTATTTAAATTATTATACTGCCACAATCACCTCACCTTGTCTTATGTAGCTATATTTATTATTCTAGGCAATAACTATATCGTTGCCAATGTTCAATGACGGATACACTTCTCTAACCTGTACATTGTCAAGCCATGCACAAGTGTAAGACAACAGAAAAGATTTTCAAAACTTTAGTAGTAAGTGATGATAAAAAGTTCAATAACAATATTTTAGATTCCACAGAAACGAGAAAATCTTGTATAAACTTGGAAGAACAATAAATACATGATATAAACCGCGTTACTTTTAGTCAAGGGGCTTAACTTTGCGCATGGCTTTAAGGAGAAAGTTTAGCACGCGGCGTATACAGCGGCTGATATTAAAAAGATTGCGTATAGGACCGCGCAGGTTGCTGACCCAGAGGATAGTCCTTCGCCGCCAAGGAAACCGGCATCCTCAGCTCGGGGACCACCTTCGCGAAGTGAGCCTTGGAGACTAGAACGCACGTCGTTTGTTTCCTCCAGGGAGTTCTCGCGTTCGTCGTCCTCCTGAGATTTGCGATTTGGTAGCTCCATTTCTGTGCAAATGTTATTGTTGTAAGGAATTGTGTAATGTAAATTTAATCATCATAATTTATTAATTATTTATATAATAGTATATAGAATCTCTGATAATAAAAGAAGGATATTAGCCAACTATTATCCTTAGATTATATTGATAGAGAGAAAATTTTTAGAGAAAAGCGGGTAAATTTTTTCATACAATTTTGCGAGATATGTAAATAGTTACGAGTGATTCCTTCATAACTTATATTTGCTTTATCTCTTTTTTATGCAATAAAACTTATTTTATTTATTAAATGATTAAATATAGATACATCAAAATACATACATTGTGTGCGTAAGTATATAGAACGTTAATAAAAAAACGAGTCAATTGTCAAAAAGTTGATCCGTTTTGAGGCATATTACATTATAAGGCATATTGCATACTATCTAGGCAGTTTTTGTTTTGTGTTTTGTCCTCATGCACTTTGTTCTTATAATAATCTAAAATTAGTGTGTAGTAACTATCTAACAGTACTGATGGTATATTACTTTACCTGTTCACCTATTTATACAGATACAAAAATTTGGAACTGCAACTCATGTAATAATATGAATTGATTCTACTTGAACGATTTATTAATAAATATATACAAATAATTTTTACTTACCGTATAACCTAATATTGCCTTCAGCGTCACCTATAGAGTTTTTGGAGATACATTTGTATCCACCGAGATCACTGCGTTGTATATGCCGGATTATCAGCTTCATCTGAACGCTGTACGCCGAGCTATTGATCTCACTCATCTGGTACTTGTCGTTCGATATTATCATTTCACCTGCATACAAATAACATTGTGTGAGGAGTGTGATTTAGGATTTTATTGCATACTGTAACGGGAAGTTATATTGATGCATTAGTTTGTATGGCGGGTAAGTGTTCGCATATGTACGAGTATCGTTTTATTGCTTTGCACAGCGGTATCTATATTGTTACATTGTCTCAGTATGAATGAAAATTACAAAATGGTATAGTGGAGAATGCTATTGACAATAATTTAAAATTAGTACCTACAACGTCGATCCAGACGTTATAACATTTTTATATTTATCACATTACATCACATCAGGCGTTAACTATCTATTGTTGGCTTCTCCTGTAAGGGGGATTTTGCCAGTAGTTGCCACGCTTGGCAGACGGGTTGGCAACCGCAGTTAGGTTTTGGCGATATTTTAAGAGGGTCCCTGCTGCCTATTCCTCGACCATTAAATTCCCTTAGTTGCCTTTTACAACGGGCAAAGAAAGGAGCGACCTAATCTATGCTGGGACCACAGTATTGACTCTTGTTCATGGAAATCTTCGTTTATTGAAGAATAAATGAACGTAGTTAGTATTAGCCATTTTATGTCTAGTATAGTAACAATATTAATGACAAATTATAATTAAATACTAGCTATTTAATGCGACTTCGCCCATTTGATTCTTTCCTTTCAGGCCTGCGAACATGATGGATTTTTTTATTTTTGAACAAAATTTTCCTTTAGACAAACCATATACTTAATCGAACACGTGTAATTTTTGATGTTTTATTGTGACTAGACTAAGATGAATACCGAAGTTTGCCTCGCATGGACTTAAAAGTCTGAGAAAACACATTAATTTGTATTTGAAGAATATGCCCCTCTTCTATCTATATTATTTATGGTGTTAGTTAACATTTAGGCATTTGTTTCAAACGATATGTACCTACATTCGGTGGTCACAAGCTATCCGACCATTTATATCCGCTCACTTCCGTCCTTTGTCCGCTCGATATCGTATTGAAATATGTTGTACTATCGCATCGTCTGAACCATTACATGCAATACAAATGCACTATCAATATCTAGTATGCGGTCAAACTGTTAACCGGTTTAAAGTAATTTTTATCGGTTTAAATTATTAACTAAGATATTTTAACTATTTAAAATGTAATCAACTTAGAAAACATTTTTAAACTTAAACTAAAGATTTTGTTATAAAAAAATTGGCATAAAATTGGTGGGGATGAGCTCAATATATAAAAATCTCGTAGATTGCCATATTAATCTTTGAAATCGAAGAATTAGACAGTGAACAATCAAAATTTGCGAATATATATGCGATATATACTTTTCATTTGTATTGTTTGTTGAAACGTGTATATTTTGTCTATGTTATATATATATATATATATATATATATATATATATATATATATATATACGATAGAAATATTCCCATATGTTTTTTTTTATTTAATTATCATACATAAATACATTAAAAAAATTGGATTTTTAGTACCACTTAAACCTCTTGGGCTTGTATATACATACTCGTAGACATCGTTCAAAAATAAACATAATTTTTAAAAATAATATCTATTTTTGACTGTTTGTTACAGTTAAATATAGAATATTTACTTTTGAACGGTGTGGACTGCCGTTCGGTGAGCGTGGACTGTAGGGGCGTTGGTTTAGGCTGGAGTGAAACGCAGCGATTACTATTCTGAAGCCTCCGGTACCGTCTGAAGAGAGTATTTTTCTTCTTGTCCTATTTCTTCTCGAGAGTGTAGTGCGTCGCTGCTCGGAAGTGAATGCCGCTCGACGGGAGGCGGCCTATCTTTATACCCGCCCGGTCGCACGATAACATTTCTAACTCGCGTTAGCGAGTCTGTGCGAGCGGGACGGGGCGAGAGTGAAAGAGACGCGTATCTCTTTAGAACGGTACCATATAGCGTCTATTTATTTACTACAATTTACTTATTTCTATTTGTTTTTACAATTTCTATTTCTATTCGCAGGTAATAATAACAACGCACAAAGAATACTTTATTTAACTTACACTATAGGTATCTTAAATCTATGTAAAATCTATGTAAAAATAACAGTATACGAAAACGATTAAAACTACGGACTTAACAACTATAAATTACGATTACATATATACAAATAATGTCGCGAACATAATCTCCCGCCGCAGCTCTCGTAGCTGGAGTCAACTCGTGTTCGCGTCGCTCGATGTCGATGTGGGCAGTATGATCAACTTCTTGGTGGGTCGCCGTAGGATGCCCTTGTTCGTCCGCACGTCGACCGCTCGGATCTCGCCGTCTGGTCCAGGGTAGGTCGCCACCACCACGCCTCGCGGCCACGTGTTGCGAGGCAAGGTCCCATCAGCTATTAGGACCAGGTCGTCCATTTTGATGGCTCCGTGTGTAGCTCGGGGCTCCCGCCGGTGTTGTAACTCGGGTAGGTACTCCTTCACCCACCGGTTCCAGAAGCAGTCAGCTAGCCTCTGGCTGGCACGCCACTCCCTGTGTCCCGCCGCGTCGCTCTCCGTGAAGCTGCCTGGCAGTGGGACGCGCGATGGACCGCCCAATATGAAGTGATTGGGGGTTAGAGCGCTGTCGTCGTCTGCCGATGTTGACACGTGGGTTAGCGGTCGGCTGTTGAGGGTGTGCTCGACCTCGATTAGCAGAGTGTGGAGGACCTCTTCCTTGGGGGCCCGCTCGTTCAACGTAGCGGCTAGTGCGGTCTTCACGCTACGCACCAACCGTTCCCATGCGCCTCCCATGAAGGGTGCGCTCGGGGGAATGTAGCGCCACCGGATGAAATGGACTGATGACTCTTCTTGGATGGCTTCCTCGGCTGCTTTCTTCAGTTCGACGTCAGCACCTTTGAGGTTGGTGCCTTGGTCGGACCATAGCTCAGTGGGACACCCTCTGCGGCTTATGAAGCGCCGCAGGGCCATTATGGCGGAGTCCGTGCTGAGGCTGCCGGCGATTTCCAGGTGGACTGCGCGCGTCGTTAAGCAGGTGAAGAGCACTCCGTACCGCTTCTGGTGAGTGCGGCCCACTGTCACGGTCATAGGCCCGAAGTAGTCTAGGCCGGTGAACGTGAACGGTCGCTGATGATGCGCCAGCCTGCTCTGTGGATGGTTGCCCGTTGATGGCTGCGCCGGTCTTGCTCTTCGTAGGCGGCACAGCTGACACCTCTTCAGTTCACTGCGGACGGCGTGTCGTAGGCGCAACACCCACAAGTGTTGTCGCACCTCGTTCGTGGTGATCTCGAAGCCGCCGTGGTGAAGTTTCCGATGCACCCATGCGATGTATAGGCGCACCCAGGCGTGGTTTCCGTCGACGATGGGGGCTCTCGTTGCTCGGCTGACAGATCGGCGGCGGCTGCTATTCTCGATCGAAGTCGCAGAATGTCGTCGTTGTCTATGACGACTGACAGCTGTATGAGTCGACTGGATGACGGCAGCTGTTTCCCATGTTTCAATGCTGCGATTTCGTCGCCGAACGCCTCTTGTTGCATCGCGCGAATCCATAGCCGTCGCGCGCGATCTAGGTAGTGTGTGTCTATGGGGATGAAACACACAGATGGACTATTGCTGTTCTTGATTTTCATCTTCGTCTTCTCTCTATCGACTTTCTTCGTGCGGGTCCAAGTGGGGTCGGCGCTCTCTTTCTTCTTGTTTCTCTTTCGGATGGCGGCACAGCGTTGACTGGTCGGTCGCAGGAGGTCGATGAACTGCAATACCCGTGCTGAACTGCGAACAAGTTTCAACCAATTAGAAAAACGTGACGGATCGGGCAATGCTATAGACAACTGCGTCGCGTTCTGTAGCTTGTGTACGCGTTCTTCTCCCGTTTCCGCTTGACTATCGTCGCTTGAACTATCTTCACGCGGCCACTCGTCCCTTTGCCGCGATCAGCGACACGTGGACCTCGCCGGTCGCGCTTACGGCCCGCCAGTACACGGCACAGGCGTACGCGTCCGAGCTGGCGTCGACGAATGTATGCAGCTCCGCTGTATCGGCCGTGGCTACCTCCGGGTAGCACCGCGGCACCTCCAGCGCGGACAGCCGTCGCACGTGGTCCATCCAGCTCCGCCAGGCGTCCGCTTCCCGTGGTTGCAGCTCGGTGTCCCATTCGATACCGGTACGCCACGTCTCCTGCAGTATCTTCTTCGCCTGTATGGTGATGGGAGTGGCGAGGCCCAGTGGATCGAACAGCGACATGATCGCTCGTAGCGCTTCCCTCTTCGTCGGCGTCTGTTCCCCGCTGGCTATCTGTGGCGGAAGCTTGTGACCGTTGAAGTTGAAGCCTAAGGTGTCTTCAGAAGGTCGCCATACCATCCCCAGTATCTTCTCTGCGTCGAGTTGTACCACGCTGTCCCCGCCGGTGTCGGAGAACGCGGCGCGCACTTGATGCGAGTTCGACGCCCACCGTTGGAGATAGTAGTTGGCTCGACCGTGGATCTGTGCGACCTGTCTTGAGACGCGTACGGCTTGCTCTTCCGTGTCGAAGCTGGCGAGGTAGTCGTCGACGTAGTGGTTCATGACCACCGCCGTTGCTGCCTCCGGGAACTCTTCCTTGTACTGTTCTGCGTTCTTGTTCATGACGTAGATCGCTGTACACGGTGACGATGTTGCGCCGAATATGACACTCTTCATCCTATATTCCACAGGTGGACCCTCTCGTCGATCTCCTCGCCACAGGAACCGTTGCATGTCCCTGTCTTCTTCCCGTATGGTGACCCGCATGAACATGTCCTTTATGTCCGCCGTGACTGCCACCCGTCGTTGCCGGAACCGCATGAGGACCCCCGGTAGCGACTGAAGTAAGTCGGGGCCCGGCAGCAGCATGTCGTTCAAACTGATGCCCTTCGTCTTGGCTGCTGCGTCGTGCACGATCCGCAGTTTCCCCGGTTTCTGCGGGTTGATGACGGCGAAATGTGGCAGGTACCACACCCGTTGGGAACTCCGTGGCGGGGCGACTTCAGCATACCCGTTCTTGAGTAGCGTGTCTATTTGCTG